ACTTATTACCCCTCTCCGTGCGCGCCACTGCACAAGAGGGGAAATAAACGCCGTGCTCAGCTGATATTCTGCTTCGAAAATAAGTAAAATCAAAAGTTAACAAATACAAATTAAAATGGAAAAATTGATAAAAACATTTCTGCTAGCTCTCAGCTTAGAAATAAGCCGATTGATTATGCAAGAATGTGCCACATAGCTGGGAAAACACCTTTGGAGCTGAGGGCTGAATTCAATAACCAACGCCAATCATGTACTAATTTTGAGAATCTCAGCACCATGACAACAACAATCGCATATACTAGTGTTACTTGTAGCACAGTATATACCACCGCAACTGCTGCAATCAGTAGCGCGATCCCTAGCGGAAGTATTGATAATCAGGCAGTCGGCTTCCCACCTGACACTGTAAAACTCACTGGAGCTGCTACAAAACTGGCAACAGCCCAAAAAATGCTTAAAACTAAAAGGAAGAAACCTCTATCCCAATAACAAATATAAAAGAGTAAGCAGAGTTGAGGTCTCACACTCCGCTTTAACTAATATTGCAAAATCCAGTAAAAGCTTTGCTTTACTGGATATGGACATGGACGTAACCAGTGAAGGCGAGGATGATGTGAATCCCACAAATGCAAGTCCTGCGACTGCTTCTATTGCTGATCATAGCAACACTGCTGATGCAATTGATACAGTCAATAGCCATCGGAATAATGAACCCAGCAACAACCAGCAGACTCTCGAGTCATCAAAGCCGCAAATCGTTGCGAATATCACTGATCTTAATGATCTATTTGAAATCATTAGTGAAGTCACCAGTATTGATAACGTATCAGTGAAATTCAACCAAGGAGTGACGGCTAGAATATTTCCTAAAGATAGCGACACTTACAGAGCTATCGTAAGCCATTTTGATGCAATAGGTATTGAGTTTCATACATATCAGATGATAGAAGAAAAATCTTACAGAATTGTAGTAAGGGGGCTTCATCATAGTACTCTGAGCAATAAAACGATTTCCAATTTTGAAAAATATGGGTTTGATGCTCTGCATCAAACCGTGTAAAAACATTAAAGAAGTTTACAATATAATAAAAACAATTTGCCGCCAAATGGTGAGAGTTGAAAGGATGCGTAAAACTTCTGAAATTGTCATATGCACACGATGCCACCAATCTTTGCGCACGTTCACAAGATGCACCGCCTACCTGCTTTTACTGTGGAGGAAACCACATGGCAAGCTACAAAGGTTGCCCGTGGTACCAGGAGTTCTATCGACGTTCAATGGGCTCCTCTACGATCAAGAAGAATCAAGCAAGACCGCAACAGTCACTACGTAAACACCAGCATCAACCGGAGTTGGAACAGGTAGAATATCCTATGCCGCGATAGCAAAAAATGGAAACGCATCTGCTCAAAGTCGCATACATAGTATTCAAGCGCACGTCCAGGGGCAGAGAACTAGCAGAAGCCATCACAGCCAGAGGCGCTAATATTCTTGCAACAGGATCTCCTACTAGGTACCCATATATGTATATCCAGTCACACTCCCTCTTGCATTGATTTTGCATTATACAATGACTTAGATTCTGACCATCTAGCCCTTATTGCCGAGTTGCACATCGATAGTCATCATATCAGGCCAAGCCCAAGGCTAATAACCAACAACCGGGTAGCAAAACAGCTACGTAACCTTTTAAGGTAACTCAGAGGTGATTTCTTCGAGCAAAAAACTGGCTTCCATGGACTACACTATGGATGCAAACTATTCGCTATGGAAATGCACAAAATTACTTAAACGACAACCTTTTAGACAGGTACCTGTCCGATGCCCTAGCGGCGAAGTTGCTAAATGCGAATTGGAACAGGCTAACGCATTCGGATGCCATCTAGAAGAACGTTTTACTCCATATTGATGACTCTGAATACTCCAACGCTGTCTTCATTGACATGCAGCAAGCTAAGAGAGCAGGAGTGCGGCAGGGCAGTGTTTTTGGTCCGCTGCTGTTCTCCTTGTACACCTTTGATATACCGAGCTCGTTCTCTCAACATATGGATGCTCCCTCGAAAGCTGTCATTGCCATATATGCTGATGATATTGCAATCATCTATAACTCAAACAAGTAAGAAAGCTCTAGTTGAGAGTGCCCGACTACGAAATCCCCTGAGCCCTTCGAGCAATAGCTGTTTCAATTAATTTTCGCGTCTTTCTGCCTACACAAGACACACACGCACACACACACACACACACACACACACACGCATACACACATTGCAGTGGTGACTTACTATGGGAACTTAATTGTTCAATAACTTTTCTTGTGGGCGTACTTTCTTCATGAAACAGATTAAGACTATAACATGGATATGCATGTATTTGCCTAAGCACAAGTCCCTAGTATTTGAAATACACCTTTTACAATAAATTTTGACAAAAACCGAAATTGTATAAAACGCATATAAATATACATTTAAAATTTGGAAACTCTAGCTTTAAAGATGTAGGAGATATACATTTATTACTGATTTTCGATAATGTTGTTAATCGATAACAAAAAACCGGGGCAATTTATCGATATTTAAAGCAAAACTTCATATGCGCGTGCTATACACGGACCTAGAAAACAAAATTTCAAGTCTCTAGCTCTTATATCTTCTGAGATCGACGCGTTCAAGCATACGGACAGACGGACGGACAGACGGACAGGGCTAAATCAACTCAGCTCGTCGCCCTGATCAAGAATAAATATACTTTATGGGGTCTGTCTCCTTCTGCCTGGTACATACATTTAACAAACCCATTATACCCTGATTTCCCATTGAAAATGGGTTCAGGGTATAAAAACGAAGTGAGTCTGTCGTAACTTGGCGGAGAGCCCAACACCGAGAGCAAGCGGTTATGCCATTAACAGAATTCTGTTAATAGCATAATCGGGCTAAGTGTGGGAGGAGCAATCCTGTTAATAGGATCTGGCATTAACAGACCCAAATGGCTACCCTGAGGTACACCAGATGAAACAAAGATAAATTTAGAAATAGCTGTTCTCAGCAAGACTCTTTGGGCTCTACCCATTAAATAGGATGAAATCCAAGACACAAGTCTAGGTGAAAAACTTAAGCGTTTTAGCTTTAGAATTAGTATGTGATGATGTACTGAGTCAAATGCTTTACTGAAGTCAGTATAAATAACATAGGTTTGCATTTTTTTAGAAAAGCTGTCATTAACAAGCGAAGTAAATTCAAGTAAATTAGAGGACGCTGATCGATTTTGAACAAAACCATGTTGAGATGCTGCAAGGCCGATGTTAAAATTTTCTCAAATAACTTCGGATTTGCAGATAATTTCGCAATGCCTTTATAATTGAAAATATCAGATCTTCCACCTTTTTTATAAAGGGGAGTGATGAAAGATTCTTTCCAAATTGAAGGGAACACAGAAGTATCTAAGGACAAGTTAAACAATTTTAGTAGTTATGACTGAAGAGAAACACTGCATTCTTTAATAACACAACTTGGAATATTATCGACACCGGGAGAGAAGATGATTTCAATGTCCTAATGGCTGCAGCCAGAGAGGCTTCAGTAACTTCAGAAGTATTTATAGACCCATATTCAGGAAGTGAATATGGATATGAGTTGCTGTAGAGATCAGCAGAAGAATAAGTGGATTGAAAAAAATCTGCAAATAGATCTGAGGAATCCTGGTCATTGCAAGTTTTTTCACCACCAAGGATAAATGAGAATGGCAAACCAGAAGATTTACGCTTCGAGTTTACAAATGAGTAAAATTGTTTAGGATCTCGAGAACGTATAGATAGTTCTCATCACAAGTAGAATTAAAAAGATTGAAATTTGACTTTGCAATGGAATATTTATACCAGTCAACACTTATAATTTTTAAAACATTTAGTTTTAATGTTTCTTAAGGTTGAAAGAGAATTGGTAAACCAAGGTGGCTTATTTCAAACTGGTGAAATACGGCAGAGAGGGACACAAACTTTCAGAATAGAGTTTAAGGTGGTATTAAAAAACGATGCTGCAAAATTAATATCAACCGACTCATATAAAATAGACCAGTCTGTTGAATTAATTAATTCATTAAGCAAAACAAAATTGCATTTACGATAATAGCGAGTAGTTTAGAAGGCAAAGGAGTATTAGTGAGAGGATTATCAACAGTTAATTTATTTATTAATTCTAAATAACAATTTGTTAAGCCAGAGCGACAAAGGCCTTCAGGCATTATTTACGTTATATAAATTATTTACTTTATATACATTGTTTACATTCTATATTACATTATATTTACATTATATACATTATAGGTCTATTTTAAGTTTGTTGATAATATTTATAAAATTTTATTTTTTATTTGTTTTATTGGGCTTTAAGATAAGGATATTGAGTGTGGGAGAATTAAAGGATTTGCAGATGTTCATTACGTGTTGGCATTGGAGTTGTAGGTGTTTTCTTGTCAATGTGTCGCTATTGCAAAATGGGCAGGTAGGAGCAGGTGTTTTATTGAATATGTATTCGTGAGTCAGTTTTGTGTGTCCTAGTCTGAATCTTGTATATTTTATTACGTGTTTCCTATCTGTTTTAGTTGGAAAATGTGTAGGTTCTCTTGCAGGGTTGATCGTTTTGTAGAAGTGTGTGTAGTCATTCCAGATTGTTTTTTGTTGTTTGATTGGTTGTTATGTTAATCATTTTATTGATGTATTTTTTGTTGTTGACGTTGTGTAGGAGCAATGGTGAATGTGTAGCCATTTTAGCTGATGTGTCTGCTAGCTCATTTCCTTTTATCTTAACATGTCCAGGTGTCCAGAGTAGCTTATTATTTGCTTAATTAAGTTTGTCCCGAATTTTCGTTATTGTGGGTTGATAGGTGTTTGGGTTTTTGACAGCTAGTAAGGTGGTGTTCAAACATGAACATACATAATAATAAAAATAGAGACAGTACTCGAATAACCTGCGCGTTATCCGACACAAAGTAATAAAAATGTCATCCCTTAGTTGCAGCGACCAATGCAGCGTCTAATATATGTAAATGTAACGTGAGCCTGGGCCCAAAGATTCAAAAAAAGGGACACTTAAGTAAACATCTGGGCACTTGTTTGTGTGAGAAAATGCACCCTTCCAGTGACTGGAAGTAGTTTTAAGAGTCTCTGTTAGGTATATAAGAACTAGGATTTTAAGCAATAAAGAGTTCAGTTAAGATCTTGAATTCGGCAAATGTGGAGTGTTTTTCATTTTAACGCTCTAACATTTTGGTCCTTCGGCGTTCTCTGTGTTTTCCCCCACCCGTGGTAAGAGACACAGAGAAAGGAACCAGCGTCTTAATGCTGATAGTTTTAAAACTCAGCTTAAGACAAAATATAGTATATTACTCTGTTTTCCCCCGCCAGTGGTAAGAGACAGAGTATATACATATATAAACTAAAAGTGGTGCTCAAATTTAAAAAAAGAAAATTTGTAGTGCTGGTGGGTCTGCATTCCCAAAAAGGGACTAGACCAAATAAAAAAAAAAAAAAAAATTTAAAAATCCGAAAAGTTCGGTTCTCTCGTGAAGTGCGGAGAGAGAAAAACAAAAAACAAAAACAAAAATTGAAGTGATTCTGTTCTCTCGCGTGAAGTGCGGAGACAGAAAAAATTAAAAAAGAATAATAAATAAAAATCCGAAAAATTCGGTTCAAAAAAATAAAAAATCGAAGTAATTCTGTTCTCTCGCGCAAAGTGCGGAGAGGCAGAATACTACCAAAAGGTTTCTGTTCTCCATCCAAAAAGAGAGACAGAGTAAAACTACAGCGAAATTCGACGAAAGAAAGCGACTCATCAGAACCGTCAGTGGCCAACGGGAAGAGGAATATCACCAAGATCATCAGGCGCCCCCTTCAGAGAAGACTGGATCAACAGGAGGACAGCGCGGATAAGATAAAGATAAGTCGTAGTTTAATTTTTTTTAATAAATATAAATAAAAATAAAAAGAATGCTGTCAGAAAAAGTGATAAAGCTCTTGAAAATGCAATCGGACTTAGTGTCCAGATTGAAAAAACTAGACTCATCTGAAGAAATTAGGCCACCGAGCGAAATTTTAGGAGAGTTAGAAAAAATAAAAGAAGAATTAGAAAATAATCATACCTTATTGTTAAAAGTAGGGGTAATAGACCATGCATACTTTAACAATAAGGAATTTGATAAAGCGATGAAAAGCATACAAGATTTGAAATTAGAAATTATGAGGGCTGAGAAAGAAGAAGATAAAGATGTGAAGCATGTTAGAGCAGTCACAGTTCACAAAAGCTCTGAAGAAGAAGTAGAGTTTGAAAGCAAAGTCGAACAGTTAAAACTATATTTAGTAGAAGTATATGAGGACATTGCAAAAGGAAACGTAGGAATCTTCGAGATTCGAAAGAATAAAATTAGATATTTATGGAATAAAGTTTCAAAGCTAGTTCAGGAGCTAAGAAATAAATATGTGTCAAACAAAATGTTTGACGAAGAGGTTAATGAATTAGATTTTGATGTGCAAAATGCAATCAGTGCGTTAGAAGCCAAAAAAGGCACCCCAATTCAACCCATAATCCACGAAAAAATGGATAACCTTCCGGGTCTACCAAAAATTCAAGTCCCAATATTTTTTGGAGATGTCAAAGATTGGGATTTATTCGCTGAATTATTTTGCGACCTTATTGATAGAAGAGAAGATTTAACTCCTTCTATCAAATTCAGTTACTTAAAATCCTCATTACGAGGAGAAGCAAAGAGCATGGTTGCTCATTTATTAACGGGGTCCGCAGATAATTATTCTACCGCTTGGGAATTACTTACCAAGCGATATGAAAATAAAAGGAAAATTTTTCGGAACAATTGAACCGAATAATGGACCTTCCAAATTTAAATATTGACTCATCCAAAAGTATCAATTATTTTATTGATACAATTAATGAGTCAATACATATAATTAAAAGTAAGGCTCAACTTTCAGAAGAAGTTGATAAAATCTTTGCACACATAATACTAAGAAAATTTAGTAAAGAGGCACTTCAATTATACGAAAGCCAAATAAAAAAGACAAAAGAAATACAATTACTGACTGACGTAATGGACTACTTAGATCAGCGACATTGTTCATTATCCACTTCAAATAAGGAGGAAAAGAAAATTCACTCTGGTTACAATTGTCCTATATGCAAAGTAGTAGGTCATAGTACCACGCAATGCACGAAATTTAAGGCAATGGTCCCAAGAGAAAGATTGGATGCTGCAAGAAAGATACAGTTATGTTTGAGGTGTTTAAGACACACGAATACTAATAGGTGTACAAGTAGCATGAATTGTTACTTTTGTAAGAAGCCTCATCATACAATGTTACATATAAATACAGAAAAAGTTAATACAGTAGTAACAAATGAAGAGGCCTTATTAGCCACAGCGATAATTAAAGTTAAAGCAATAAAGGGGAATTATATTAACTTAAGAGCCTTAATAGATAGTGGATCTCAAAAAACAATTATATCTGAGGAGGCCGCACAGTTGCTAAATTTACCCAGAATCAGAAATGAGACAGAAATAAGTGGTGTCTCATCAGAAAATACTTGTAGGTCGAAACACAAAGTTAAGCTAATAATAAAACCTAGAGAACCAAATAAAGAACAGTTTAGGGTTGAGGCCATCATATTATCAAAGTTAATGAAAGCTCTCCCAGTTAGTAAAGCAAATATAGACATGGCTCAATGGCACAATTTCACTTTAGCTGATCCACAATTTTATAAACCAGGTTGTTCATGAACATGCATGAACATGGAAATATGATAAGTAGGGGAACGTACGCGCTATGCACTCGACAGCTAGCATAAAATAAATAACATATGTCTCAAGTGTGAACTGTCAAACTGGGCATACATTATGACCCTGACCCTTAGCGATTAGAATACGTAAGAGGCGAGCGCTGAGCATTACAAACTCAGCGATAGCATAAGAATAGCTAATAAGCCAACGCGGAGCCTTACAACCTCAGCGATAGGATAAGAATAGATAATAGAACCACGCGGAGCCTTACAAACTCTGCGATAAGATAAGAACATGCAATAGACCAATGCTGAGCCTTACACACTCAGCAATAGACGCACTAGATTTAAGGGTTGAAATTATGCATGAGTCTGGGTATATAAACCCAGGCTCAGAAGAATAAAGATCAATACAAAACTAAACACCATCATAGTGAAGTGTATTCGTTCATGGTCCTTCGATCCGTACCACAAGACTACTAAATATCGAAAGTTGTAACAAGTGTATATTAAAGTGAAAACTTATTTTGTTAAATAAGAAAAGTGATTTCTTCTTTGGCTTACCAATCCACGCTGTGAGTCGAGGCACAGCAAGATCAACAAGGCGATCAAAACAAAAATACCTCCAACGGGTTAAGCCAAAAAAGCAAATCAACAAAATATACAAAAACTACAACAACCGCAACAAGATGCTGTCAGACAAGGCCATTGAAGTGCTGAAGAAGCAATCAAACTTGTATGACACCATTTTAAAGGCCATAGCTGAAAAGGATGCGTTAGCAGTCGTGAACAAGTTGGCAGAAGAATTCACTGCCAATCACTCGACGCTAATAAAACTCGGTATCCCAAGCAATCATCCGTATTTTACCCAGAATATAAACGATGGATTGATGGAAAAAATCAGGATCTACAAAGAGAACCTGATGAAGGTCGAAACTACCGACCCCGATATCGACGCCGATAGACCATCCACCAGCATGAATTGGCAAATGCACTCGACTCATCAAGAAACAGTGTTTTCACCCAGGAAGGCGAGCGCAACGGATGTGATGGTAGAACTTGTGGGTAAAAGAGCTCTAGTGTTAAAGCGGCACATTGAAGAGGTGCATGCCAATCTAGAGTTCAGCAACCAGGAGGAAACTCTAGATAGCAAAGAAACACTAGAGTTCCTCTGGAATAAAGTCCAGTCTACGCTTACCGATTTGGAGGTAAAATATGATATACCTTCCCATGAAATCGACGGCATAGACGCATTGGAGCTTAAAGTCCATACATTGTCGAAGAAACTTAACAGGAAGTTAAGTGTCTTTCACAGTATGAAAGAAGACGTTCCAGAGATGCCAAAATCGGATCTTCCTCAATTTAATGGAAGTCCCAAAGAGTGGCCAACGTTCTTCAACTTGTTCTCCGACATGGTTCACAAAAGGAAGGATATCAGCGACACAAGGAAGCTGAACTACCTGAAATCATGCCTCAAAGGAGATGCCCAAATGGTAGTGAGCCATTTGTTAAGTGGATCAGCTGCTAGCTACAATTCGGCGTGGGAACTTATATGTAAGCGCTATGAAAATAAGCGCAAGATATTCGCAAACGCCGTTAACCAGCTAGTGGACATGGAACTGCTGGAAAACGATGATGAAAGCAGGATCCGCCGATTCTTGGATACAGCAAATGAGAATATTCACATCGTTAAAGAAGTAGCCCAAATTGGTAACGATGCTGATGTGCTAATCGCTCAAATTTTGCTAAGAAGGTTCTCAACTGAAGTCCTACAACTTTACGAGCAACATGTAAAGAGGGCTAGAGAAATTCAATCCTTACAAAATGTACTGGAGTTTGTTGATCAACTATACAATTCAATAGACGCAGTACAAAAAAGGGCCGCCCAGACGATTACTGAAGCAAAGAAAACGAGCTACAAAAGATGCCGTTTTTGCAAACTGGATAGCCACGACATAACAAGATGCTCAAGATTTAAAGCAGAGCCAGTTAAAAAACGCAAGGAGTTTGTAACCAAAAATGCTCTATGCTTTAAATGCCTAGGAGCTCATTGTATAAAAGATTGCAAAAGGGATTTGGCATGCAAGTATTGCACCAAACCACACAACAATTTGCTTCACGAGGAAGCGAACAAAAACGAGACCTTCAGCAGCAACTGTCTCAAAGAAAGCAACGGACAAGATACGTTGCTGGCAACTGCGCTCATACGGATCAAAAATAAGTCCGGAAAATACGAGCAGCTAAGGGCCCTCATCGATGGAGGCTCTCAAAGAACGTTGATATCGGAAGAAGCCGCACAACAGCTAAAACTGCGCCGAATCAAGAGGGACGTGGAAGTACAAGGAATTTCGCAAAATACTGAAATTCTGAAAAACAGCGTCTGCTTGACAATCAAGCCTAGAATGTCAAGCAAATTCGTAACTTCAACGCAGGCACTTGTTATGCCAAAACTACAGAGAGCTCTACCGAGCAAGAAAATTGACATGGATGTCAATAAAGACTGGATGGGCTGCGAGCTAGCGGACCCACACTTCAACGAGCCCAGCAGAATCGATGTTGTCATCGGTGTTGATTTGCTTCCCTTAATAATGTTGGGAAACGTTAAAAAAGTCAACGAAACACTGGGACAGAAAACTGAACTTGGATGGATTGTTTCTGGCAACATAGCTAGATCATCAAACAACAAGGTGATCAGCGCAACAACGACCATACGCCTGGATGACCTCGAACGCTTCTGGGAGCTTGAAAGTAACTCAAGCGATTCGGAAGAAAACAATGATTGCGAGAAAGGAAACTCGCGCAAGCAAGCTATGGCCAGACTAATGCAAATGGAGAAAAAATTCAAAAAGCACCCACAATTATTCACAGAATATAAGGACTTCATGGAGCAATACCTGAAGCTAGGTCATATGGAACCTGTAGACACAATTGGCAAAGGCAAATACTATATGCCACATCAAGCTGTAATCAGACCAAACAGCCTTACTACTAAGTTAAGAGTAGTGTTCGACGCTTCAGCAAAAACCACTAATGGATTAAGTCTAAATGATGTGATGCTAGTCGGGCCCAAAATACAAAAGGATATCTTCGATATTTTAATCAAATGGCGACAATGGAAGTATGTGATGACAGCCGACATCGAGAAAATGTACCGCCAGATTAAGGTCGCCAAAGCTGATCAGGAATATCAATACATCCTCTGGAGAGATGACCCAAAAATGCCAATAAAAGAGTACAAGTTAACTACAGTGACATACGGGACATCGGCTGCACCTTTCTTAGCTGTTCGCTGTCTTCAGGAATTAGCAAACCAACACTGCCAAGGAAACAATCAGCTAATGAGAACAATAAAAGAAGACTTCTACATGGACGACCTCATTACTGGTGGCGACTCGATAGAGGACTGCATCAACACTCAAACAGCACTCTTGAGTATCATGGAAAAGGCAGGCATGCATCTAAGAAAATGGGTGTCAAATGATGACAGAATCATTGCTGGATTTTGTGACGCATCAGAAAAAGCATATGCAGCGGTGGTGTATACAAAGGTCGGAGACAAAATCACTTTGCTAGCTGCGAAAAGCAAAGTGAACCCAATCAAAAACAAGAAGACAATTCCCAAACTAGAGCTATGTGCAGCTCATATACTATGCAAACTATTAACAAAAATTCAAGCAATAGTAGGAAATAATATCAAAACGATAGCATGGAGTGATTCACAAATTACGCTAGCTTGGATAAACAACAAGCGTAGCAAAGACAGATTCGTCAAAACCAGAGTAGACGAAATAAACAAGGAACTGCCTCACGTCGAATGGAAATACGTGAAATCGGCAGACAACCCAGCAGATGTTGCCTCAAGAGGAATCGCCCCGGAACACTTAGCAGCATGCGACATATGGTGGAAAGGGCCTGAGTGGCTGACAAAACAACCACATCAGTGGCCACAATTTGAAGAGCCAGAAACTGTTATAGTAGCAACTATAACAACAAAGGAAAACTACCTGAGTCCACTATTAACAAGGTTCTCGTCAATAAATAAGTTAACAAGTGTGATGGCCTACATATTACGCTTTATTGCTAAATCAAGGGGAAAGAAGCATCAGCCGACGCACCTAACCGTCGAAGAACTAAAGCAAGCCAAAACACTCGTTGTAAAATTGCAACAACAACTTGATTTTGGACATGAAATAAACTTACTCAAAGCAGGAAAACCTTTGGAAGCTAAGAGTAAATTACAAGCGCTCAACCCGTTTCTGGATGCTAATGGAGTCTTACGTGTGGGAGGCCGTCTCCAAAGTGCGTTGGTACCATATAATGTGAAACACCCAATTATAGTTGGAAAATCACATCTTTCTTGGCTAATCATAAACAACGCACATAAGGAAACCTTACATGGCGGACTGAAGCTAATGAGAAACCTTATTCAAAGAGAATTCTGGATTGTCGGCTTACGGAACACGCTTAAGAAATACTTACGCGAATGCGTTACCTGCATCAGGTACAAACAGGAAATGGCCAGTCAGTTAATGGGAAACTTACCAGTTTATCGAGTAACAGGCGATTACCCGTTCCAAAACACTGGTATTGATTACGCTGGACCTTTCCAAATTAGATGTTCCAAAGGAAGAGGCCAAAAGTCATACAAAGGGTACATATGCCTATTTGTATGCATGGCTACAAAGGCTCTACATCTGGAAGCGGTCAGTGACTTATCATCAGATAAGTTCTTAGAAGCTCTACATCGATTTTTTGCAAGACGAGGCAAAAGCGAGAACTTGTATTCGGACAACGGCACTAATTTCGTAGGTGCCGCTAGAATATTGGACAAGGAACTGGTCGCAGCTATAAAAGGAAATAGCAGTATCGCACCAGTGCTGGAACGAGAAGGCATCAAATGGCACTTCATCCCGCCGGCAAGCCCCCACATGGGAGGAATATGGGAAGCCGGAATAAAATCAGTAAAACACCACCTTAAGCGAGTCATCGGCGATAACAGCTTCACGTTTGAGGAGTTTTCGACACTGCTATGCCAAATTGAAGCAGTACTAAACTCACGACCCCTGGTTGCCTTAAATAATGACACAGAGGGAGACGACATATTGACACCCGGTCATTTTATTGTTGGACGACCACTGATTGGAGCTCCAGAACACTTTGACGAGCATAGAAAAATTGGATCTCTAGATAGATGGAGACACATGCAACGAATCAGAGCAGAATTCTGGAGGAAATGGAAAGAGGAATACCTGGCGTCGTTGCAACAGCGAACCAAATGGCGACAAGCAAATGCAAACCTCACAGAAGGCCAACTTGTTCTATTAAAACAAGAAAACACGCATCCCGCTAGATGGCCCATGGGAAAAATTACAAAAACTACTAAAGGACAAGATGATAAAGTTCGAGTAGTCACAATAAAAACAAACATGGGTGAAGTCAAAAGATCAGTAAACAAGATCTGTTTATTACCCACTAATGAAAAGGATAAACAAGACGACTCTACAAAAGACCGAAGAAAAACACGGTCAGCAAAGTTACCTGCCGGAAAAGCGACAATCTTAAGTCTGCTAATGGTATTGCAAGTAGCAAGTGCTGCAATCATACCTGCTACAAACAAAACCACCAAAATCAAAGTTCAAGATATGGATCCACAAACGGCAATGCTAATGGATAAACTTGGAAAAGTGGAAGTCGTCTCTTCAAGCTGGCAGATGCTGTTCTACTACGACATGCAAGCTTATTTCGAAGTGCTAAAACAAGCAGATGAGCTCATGAGCAAAACAAACATCATTTGCGAAAAATTGGGCGATTTCAACGAATACTGCACAACAGTGAGCAGTACAATAATGTTAAAAATTAAAAACATTAGAGAAAAAATAAAATTATCACCCAAACGGCCAACAGATCGAAACGGTTCATAATGTTTTTCGATATTGGCACTGCAAACAGACTGGAAGAAAACATGCAGACAATAATCAAAAACGAAAAGCGGCTAAGTGATTATGTCAGCAACCAAACATCCATCATAAATGCAACATCAAACCTTGTACAAACCACTACAGAGGAGGTAAATAAAAACTTCGAAAAGGTTACAATGGAGATAAATAAAATGGCAAGCACTATGAAGGATAACTTTTTCGTCTACAAAGAGTCCATAAAGTTCTTTATGTTGATCAACCAAGTGAGAAGCTGGATTGAGGAAACCGAGGATCTCCAGTCAGCAGTAATTTCCCTGGTGACAGATATTAACCAAGGAAAAGTGCACCCGTCCCTAGTCGAACCAAATAAGATGTTAGCTGAACTCAACAAGATCCAACAGAAACTGCAGAGGAACCAACTTCTTCCTGGCGAAAACTCTCCGAAAAGACTTCAGTTAGTATACAAACTAATGAAAGCGCAAGCAATATTTAAGGACAACATGCTAATCATAGACGCAAGGCTACCAATATACATAAACCAGCATGCTACTCTCTTCGAAGCAATACCAATACCACTCGTATTGAAAGGAAGAAAAGTTATCCCGAAAACTAAAACTAAATTCCTTATCTTCAATACTGAGATAAACGCATACCACTCAATGACTGAAATGGAAGTAAGTCATTGCCAGCATGAAGACGAGATCACATACCTGTGCGAAGGAAGTTGGGCGTGGGAAGAGGCAGACGACGAAAGTTGTGAAATATCTCCAATAAAACCAAGCACCAAGCAGCCATGCAAGATGATGGAATACGAGGGAGACACGTTCGTCAAGAAACTCAATGGAAAAAACCGATGGCTCTTTAAAGTATTTAAGGAGAAGTCTGCCCACATTATATGCGGAAACTACGAGGAGATAGTCCAGCTACCAAACCAAGGCATAATCGAGCTATATGCTGGATGCTCAGCCAGAATAGGTAAAATTAACATTATTACTCCGCAGGATCTAGTATCTACAAATACTGCAAGGTACTCGCCACTCTTCCTCAAAATAATCGACCAGAACGTCACATGGGATTCAACACCACTTCAACACATTGTCGTAAATAACTCAGTAGAGCTACAACGAGTTCAACAAAGCATAGAAGACCTGCACCGGCAAAAGGTACATATTGAAGATCTTGTCTTCCACACAATGAATGGACATATTTCGTTGGGACTAGTAATAATTATAATATCGCTATTTATCGTGTATCTAATCAAGAAGAGAAACCAGAGACAGCAATTGTTAGCTATAACCTTCTCTGGCCCCCCGCAGAATGTTCATGAACATGCATGAACATGGAAATATGATAAGTAGGGGAACGTACGCGCTATGCACTCGACAGCTAGCATAAAATAAATAACATATGTCTCAAGTGTGAACTGTCAAACTGGGCATACATTATGACCCTGACCCTTAGCGATTAGAATACGTAAGAGGCGAGCGCTGAGCATTACAAACTCAGCGATAGCATAAGAATAGCTAATAAGCCAACGCGGAGCCTTACAACCTCAGCGATAGGATAAGAATAGATAATAGAACCACGCGGAGCCTTACAAACTCTGCGATAAGATAAGAACATGCAATAGACCAATGCTGAGCCTTACACACTCAGCAATAGACGCACTAGATTTAAGGGTTGAAATTATGCATGAGTCTGGGTATATAAACCCAGGCTCAGAAGAATAAAGATCAATACAAAACTAAACACCATCATAGTGAAGTGTATTCGTTCACAGGTCGTGTAGACATAATAATAGGTGCAGACTTATATCCACACGTACTAAAAGATGGGATAGTAAAGATAGATGGATTACTTGGGCAAAAGACTGAATTTGGTTGGATTGTATCAGGTTGTACAAAATCAAAAGGTAAAACAACGATAGTAGCGACAAGTATTGCAATAGAAGACCTAGATCGGTTCTGGGAATTAGAAAACGAAGAAGAAGAAGATGTCAAAGAGATAGAATTTTGTGAGAAAAATTTTCAGAATACAACAAAAATTGATTCAAGGGGTAGATATGTTGTAACAATTCCGTTCAAAGAAGAAAATGAATTAGGAGAATCAAAGCCACAAGCTATAGCTCGATTTCTTAGCTTAGAGAAAAAGCTGCAAAAAAATGAAAAATTAAGAACAGACTACACAAATTTCATGAACGAATACTTGCAGTTAGGACATATGATATCTACAAATAAAGAAGGAAAATATTATTTACCACATCAGGCAGTGTTAAGAGATAGTAGTCTGACAACGAAGCTAAGGGTAGTTTTTGACGCATCTGCAAAAACAACAAATAAGAAAAGTCTAAATGACATTATGTGGACGGGACCAAGAGTTCAAAAAGATATATTTGACATTATATTAAAATGGCGACGCTGGGAATATGTAGTATCAGCAGATATAGAAAAAATGTATAGGCAAATAAAAATAGCAAAACATGACCAAGAATTTCAATATATTGTCTGGAGAGATTCTCCAAGTAAAAAACTAAAGAACTTTAAGCTTACCACAGTCACTTATGGTACTGCATCAGCTCCTTACTTAGCCACTAGAGTTCTTTTAGACATAGCCAATAATTGCAATAACGCAACAATTAAAGAAATAATTAAAACAGATTTTTATATGGACGATCTTATGACAGGCGCTGAGTCCATACAAAACTGTAAAGAAATTGTTGAATGTGTTTCCAGTGAACTAGCAAAAGTAGGATTTAATCTGAGAAAGTGGATTTCAAATAAATCAGAAATAATTGAAGAAATAGACAGAAATGAAGAAAATAAGGTGTTAAGCATTGAAGAGAATGAGTCAATAAAAACATTAGGTCTACAGTGGGAACCCCTCAAAGATGAATTCAAATTTAGTTTCACTGACAACAATATTAAAACAATAAATAAAAGAACAGTCTTATCAACACTTGCTAAAATATATGATCCCTTAGGGTGGTTAGCTCCAGTGACCATAATAGGGAAACTGTTTATGCAAAAGCTATGGCTAACTGATAAAAAATGGGATGAAGAACTATCCAAAGAAGAAATCAAAGAATGGAAAGAGTATCAAGATAATTTGAAACATCTACAAAACCTAAGAATACCTAGGTGGGTCAAAATACAAAAAGATATTGAAGTACAGTTTCATGGGTTTGCTGATGCTTCTGAAAAAGCCTATGCAGCAGTAGTATATGCCAAAGTAGGTAATTCGGTAATGATATTAGCTAGTAAATGTAAAGTTAATCCCAAGAAAAATCGTAAAACTATTCCCAAATTGGAACTATGCGCTGCCCATCTTTTGACAAAACTCATTTCTAAAATAACAGAATCGATTAAAATTAATGTTGAAATCTTTGCGTGGAGTGATTCCACTATCACATTAGCTTGGATCCAAAACGGATTGAATAAAAATAAATTCATTAGAAAAAGAACGGATGAGATTAGGAAAATGTCAGAAATTAAATGGAATCATGTAAAATCAGAAGACAATCCAGCAGATATAGCATCCAGAGGAATCAATACTTATAAATTAGTAGAATGCGAAATTTGGTGGAATGGGCCAAAGTGGTTAGCCAAATCAAAGAACCATTGGCCAAAAGAAGAAGAAAATGTAGATGAAGAAAAAATAAGTGTGAACACTATGATAGAAAACTCAGAAAAGAATATAATAGGTGAATTAATCAAACGATATTCTTGTATGCAAAAATTACAAAAAGTAGTAGCATTTATTATTAAATTTATTAAAATCATAACCAAAAAAACGATACAAAAGCCACAAAAATATATAACAGTAGAAGAATTAAATAACGCTAGAATATTAATTATTAAACAACAACAAGCATGTCAGTTTAGAACAGAAATAGGAAAGCTGTTGGGGAAAAAATATTTACAAAATAAGAGTAAAATAATTAGTTTGAATCCATTTTTAGATGAAAAGGGAATACTTCGAGTAGGAGGAAGATTAGAGAAAGCTAGTATTGGATTTGACGTAAAGCATCCAATTATTCTTGACAAATGCCATTTAGTTAACTTAATAATTAAAGATGCGCACACTATCACTCTGCACGGAGGTATTAATGTAATGAGAAACTATATTCAAAGAAAATATTGGATAATTGGACTCAGAAACTGTCTAAAGAAATACTTACGTAATTGTATTACATGCACTAGATATAATCATACACCCACACAACAAATAATGGCAAATCTCCCTATGAATAGAATTACAATGTCATACCCATTCTTGAATACGGGAATAGACTATGCAGGGCCTTATTATATGAAATGTTCTAAGTATCGTGGGCAAAAAATGTATAAAGGGTACATAGCATTATTTGTGTGCATGGCAACAAAAGCTATACACTTAGAAGCAGTTAGT